CTTACTTTACATTACTTTACCGTACTTTACCTTACTTTACCTTACTTTACCTTACTTTACCTTATTTTACCTTATTTTACCTGACTTTAAATGCCTTTACCTTACTTTTGCTTACTTTACCTTATCTTATTTCACCTTCTCGTGATTGAAAAAGGAAAAAGTTTATTCGGCTCAGAAATTAACAGAAATTCAATGTCGAATGAATCATGAACATCAATAAAATTTTTACATTTAAATTTTTCAGAAAATTCATATTTTTCATTTTTCATCAACATTTTTCTTCTTATTTCAGTACTCGATTGCTCTTTAAAAGCAATGTGATTCTGACATTCTCATCCAAAGTTCCCCCATTTTCGAATGATCAACTTACTACTTTTTATCTATCACAAAAAGCACTGAGATACAAAACAAATATATATATATATAAGAACAAATGTGTTACGTCACTACGCTCCCAATAAAAAAAACTCGAATTCTCACTATAACTATGGATTCATTTGTTTCGACTTTTGTTGTAATTGTGAGCGCAACGGAGCAGCATTTTCATTTTTATATTATGTATTTGTAGTGTGCTTTATTATAGATTTGATGTAGGAAGTGTTTTGACCACCCTCTCATTTAAAAATAATAAATTAAACATTCAAATCTCGGACATTAATTCCAAAACTGACACCCTTGGGCTTTTGAAAGACAATCAAGTACTAAGATAAAAACAAGAATGCTGATGTAAATACAAAATATATATGTTATGGAATATTTGAATTCAAAAATTTGATACAGACGATCCACTTAAAGTCTGGGCTATTTTCGGGGCATAAATAGCCTCTTGTAGACGCTGACCCCTTTACGAGTGTGATCCTCGTCAGTCAAGAGATTATACTTCGTAGCAAATATATAGTTCTAGTTTGTAGAATCAGCTGAGTCAAAGAGATCCTTACCAAAATCATCAATATTATGTAATTTCACTGCATGCTTATATACAGTGCTTTTCAAAAAGGTCACACACAACGTATTTTTTGAGCCTGTCATGTAGAAGGCTAAAATCCTAAAAGTGGCAGTCGAAACTCATACGATGGTAGGTGGGCACCAATTTGGAACATTTCGTAAAAGAAATGAAGCGTCGCTCCTCATGGGTACTTTATATCCCCAAAATATGATATCACTATATAACAACATGGCGATCTGGCAGGCTGTCAAATTTTAGCGTTTTTGTACATTAGATTATAATTCAACAACCAATCATCAAAAAGATACAGTATGCCACATCAATCTTCTCTTGGAAGGGTCTATCCGAATATGCAATAAAATAGGGGCCACGCTACTAAGAAAAATTTCACACCATGTTAAATTTCTCTGATATGTAACTGTTATAATAGTATAATCATATTAAACAAAAACACCCCTGGTTTGCGAAATAATTATAAAGTCTTGTTTTATTGCTGTAAGTTGTTGGGGGTATTTGAAACATGACCGCCTAAAATGGGTACACCAATTTTTGTGTGAAAACTTTTTATTCGACAACAAAGAATGAGAAAACGTCTTTTTGGGATGCAATCGAAAGTATTGGCAGGAACGAAATAACTCTAGATATTTATGAGACCTACAAAATGAGACCGCACGTAAAAAGATCCGACTAATAGCAAGGCAAACTGCAGGCTGTGGCACATATTCTTTCTCGCACATATTTGAAATTCTTCAAAGTCGTAGGAATCGTACTTCTAAATAACCACAACAAAATTGGAGTAGATTGGTCAAGTAGCTTTTTGATTTCTAATTATTTATCCCAAAACACCTGTTTTGGGATTAATAAGTTTATTGAGCAATATGCACGGCTAGTTCAAAGGGTATTTTATAGCAAAATACACTAGTTTAGCTTGCCGATATGAATCGTGAACCATTCCGGAAGATAAATGTTATTTGTATGCAAAAAAGGATGGGTTACGTTTTTTTCTTCCAAACAAATTCAAACATTTCGTATTTGTGAGTAATTCACAACAAAAGATGATAGACACATCCGCTTTGTTTTAAAATGTGTATAGTAACGTATGTTTTTCGAATATCGTAACGCATTTGTTCAATTACTCACAAATACGAAATGTTTGAATTTGTTTTGAAGAAAAAAAACGTAGATCTCGTTTTTCGCAAGAAAATAACATTTATCTTTCGGAATGGTTTGTGATTCGTATCGGCAAGGTAAACACGTATATGTTGCTATTAAATGCTCTTTGAATATTGTTCAATAAACTAGTGACGTCCGGAAAACAGGTGTTTTGGGATGAGCAATTAGAGATTTTCAAAGAACTACTTGACCAATATACTCCAATTTTGTTGCTGTTACTCGTATTTAGAAGTCCTACGGTTTTGGAAAATTTCAAGTAGTTACGTGAAATTATCGTCACATTACCAACAAGTGCCAAAACCTGCATTTTGCCTCGTTTTTCGGCCATAACATTTTTGCTATTAGTCGGATCTTTTCACTTGTGGTCTCATTTTGTCGGTCTCATAAATACCTAAAAATCTTATGCAAAAAGTGTTTTCGGTCCTGTCAACGCTTTCGATTGAATCCCAAAACCACGTTTTCTCATCCTTTGTTGTCAAATAAACAGTTTTTCCACAAGAATTGGTGTACCCATTTTATGCGTCCATATTTTAAATAAACCCTTGAACAACTTACAAGCCATAAAACCAGACTTTACAATTATTTCGGGGAAATTTGCTAATATGAGTAGACTATAATAATATATGAATACTCTGTATTATAGATACACATTATAACATATTTTCATGAAAAGATACACTAGAAATATGAATAAAAACATGTTTTTAATGGTTCTTGAAAATCCATCCTCACTGACGCAATTCAAAATGTACCTAGTTTTTTGTGTAAATGTGACAAATTCCCGATTTGACTTTGATCAATGCGTAGCAAATCAAGACATAATAGATACTAGGGCAATGGCCTGCTGAAAGCAGAAACGTGTCACCTGCTCACGTAGTATTGGCGGATTCCCTTTTGCCAGTGGTTCCAGCCTGGTAAGTATATATTTGTGAATTTCATTATTACATTGATGCAACTATGTAAAAAACAACGATTCTTGAATACAAAAGTAATGAATCACATACAATAATGGCTTATTGTATCTTAATTTTTTTACTACTCTTCATCTTTTTCTACTTTTTGCGATTTAATAAATACAGAAAATATAAGCAATGAAAGCAAGGGTTGCGGCCCGCTATCCGTTTCCAAACACAACCGTTATTCTGAGCGACTGTGAGCTCTCAATCCATACGGTTCTGTAATTTCAAGACAGATGGAACTGAAGACTTGTTATTAGAAGAACTATTGAAGTTATTTAGGTAATGGTATGGCCCTGTCAAGTATGTATCACATATCATGCAGTCCTGTGCCGTAATGAATATGAAAAAAAGCTATTTTTCTTATTTGACAATGAACACCAAAATGCCGTATATTGACCCATATACTGTTATTTTTAGTTTAATATATGTTATTTATGCGTCATCATCCCAAATTTCAGCTCCCTAACTTGCCCCGTTTAAGAAATAACTAGGTAGGACCTTTCTGAAAAGCATGGTATGTTATGTGATACCCACTTAACATATCACACCTACATCAAGTAAGATTTGGCAAGGGTCTGGAAGACGCGGGTCGTTCTCCAATCAGTGAGACGAATTTCTGGGCGAGAAAACAACGAAATGATAAAGACCGACGCGCCATTATTGGTAATCGTAAACCATAATTAGTGTCAGTTTTGTTAAGCTTAATGAATGCCGAGCTGGTAAGAGCATTACGAAACATAATTACATATTTTAAGCTCGTGTGGTGAGGTGCAGAGGTGGCATGTAAATCAAGAAGATACGCTGCTTGCCTTCGCTCGTCATTATAGACAGACGAAATTATTGGTTGTGTCTTGTCCTTACATTCTATTGAAAGGGTTTGTGCTATAGGGCGGAATAATTTTCATAGGTCGCTTGAAGGCACTAGGGTCTCATCAGAAATCTAGTATATTGAGACATGGGTATGACAACATACCAGCTATGTATTTTATCATCAGTAGGTATATTTCGAAGAACACAGCGACAAGGACGGCTTCAGAGTTTTGAGCGCCCTGAGGCAAACGATGGAATGTGCCAAGGGGCAAGAAAGGCTGGTGTTACTAAAATTCTAGGCACTGGAGCAGTGGTCGACAACCTTTTCAGTGTGTTGGGCTACTTTGCTAATTTTGGAATAAATAGTGAGCTACCTAGTCGTAAGCAATATAAGCCAACTTAAATGAAATTAAGCACAGTTTTATGCGACATAATAAGCTTAAATAAACTAATAACTAATACGTACTACATAACTACATCCATTCCTACCAATCGTATGTATTTGAAAAATGAACAAAATTTTACGTCGGCTACAATGGCATGTCACATACGATTTAATAGAGGTAACTAAAAATAAAAAAAGGACGCACTATTTTAAGCAAAATCATGTCCAGATAAAAAATGCGTGTTCAATGAGAAGCCTGACACTCAGACTCACTGACAATTTTTTTAATGTTTGGAGTATAATTTGATACCGCCATTCGAATACAATTATCCAAATATTCATCTGCAAGTCGATTACGCTATTTGTTTTTAATAAACTTCATATTTGAAAAAGAAAATTCAAACAAATATGTTGAACTCAATAAAGCTTTCACTTTTAAGGCAACACGCCTTTATCTGAATATTTATCTTTACTTACTGAAGGCCAGATACATTTTGTATTTGAGACAACTGATTTTAAAGCTAAATTTTGAAACGCGATTACTTCCATTTCTGTCGCAGAGATGTCTTCGCTAAAATGCTGCGTAACAGAAGTTGCAAGCTGTTGGATATCAAATTCCATGAAGGGTGAAACATCAAATTGCGCCACTATAGCAAATTCGTTGAAATCCTTGAACGATTTTTGCAGTTATCCTTCAAGTTAGAGAATATTTCTACATGATATTTACTGTCATGTGGTTCTAAGGGACTTTGGGATATCTTTTCAAAAAGAACAGGAAAATGCCTGGTTTCGCCATCGATTAAGTTTTGTTCCCAAATTTCAAGCTTTTTGATAAACGCTTTTATATCAGAAATCATTTCTGCTAGTTCTTTGTCTCTCCCCTGAATCTACAAATTAAGTTCATTTAATTTTTCTGTAATATCCACAAGAAAACCAAAATCTCTAAGCCAGATTGAATTTTCCAGTTCCGGAAACGGTTCATCACATTGTTTGAAAAATTTAACTATGGCAGATATGATATGTTTAAAACGTTTCAGCACTCATCCCCTACTTAACCATTGGACTTCAGTGTGAAGAAGTAGTTCCCCGTATTGACCGTCAATTTCATCGGCCAAGGCTTAGAGTAATCTTTATAACGCTTGAGTTCTAATCTTGTAATTTTTACTGCCAATTTCATAACTTCGTTTAGTTTTAGAAAATATCCACATAATGCTTGCTGGTGGATAATGCAGTGGTAACAGAGAAATTGCGAAAAACTTTCATCTCTACGACATAACCCCACGAGACCCTTATCACAATCCACCATAGCTGGAGCGCCATCGGTTGTCAAGGTTACTATTTTCTTCTTTTTTTTTCGTTCTGTTATTGGCACTGATCCATGACCAACAGGCCAAATCCTTATGTTCAGTATAATGTTATGCTTTAATAGAAAATAGAATATCCATTACTTAATATTACCACTATATTATTTCTATTATAGTTATATAGAGTATACGAACACATATTGCTCTTTTTTTAAGGTTTTCTTCAACCAATACTTTTTACTTTATTTTTCCTTTTTAGGTTACCATTTTCGATATTGGAATTTTCTCAGAAGAAATGATATTTTTAAGAGAAGAAGTCCTGCTCAGTAGTCTGTCCTTTTAGTGGAATAAACTTAAAAATACCTACTTTAATCGCAAAATCATTAAAAACCATCGTGACGATGACGGCCATCTGAGACGTGTCAACGACATCTGTGGATTCATCCAGCTGCAGCGAAAAATAAGCACAGTTATCGAAGTCATGTCTTAACTATAAAACTATATCATTGCTCATTACTTCTACTCGTCTCATCACTGAATTAGCAGAAAGTTGTATAGATTTTATAGCAGACACTATCTCGTCATTGTTTCTAAAGTTGGCAAACAATGAATCTGCAGCTTCTAAAAACGCCTGTTTTATCATTTCCCCGTTTCGTTTAAAAACATTGTCTGTTGTCCAATTAACTGATTTTTTAATTGTTTCAGTTTTTCCGTTCTGGTTGTAGAACGTAATGGGAATGATTTTTCAAAATTCAAATGTACAGTTTTATAGTGCCTCTCGATATTTCCTTTTTTACCAATGAGAACAGATGTATTACATAACAAACATACATTTTTACCTTTAAGTTCTGTATAGAAATATTGTTCTTCCAATTCCAAATGGAAATGGTATGTCTTCATCTTCTTATTGCTGCTCATAATTTTTTTAATTGCAGGCCAACTCTAACCCAACCGCTAGACTTTGTTCCGTTCAGTTCTAAACTGAACGCGCTGTCGCCGCGCCTTGCGTATTTATTCCGTTCAAAGTAGTCGAGATCGTTCTCGAACAGATCGCTAACCGCAGTGTTGCCGCTGCTTGTGTTCATTATGAGAATTTACAAAATTTACGGAAGCTTCTATGATTCTTACACCTTTTTAAAATATGTTGTGAGCCACCCGAATTGCCTGTGCGAGCTGCCGGTAGCTCGCGATCGACGAGTTGGCGACCACTGCACTAGAGCTATTTCGGAGCCCTGACAAATATGCAGATAGAGCACGCCCACAAAGTCATCAAGAACATGTAGGACAACATGTCGGGCTGCTTATTCGCTAGATAATTCCTCAGCTATCCTAGTAAAGAAGTATCAAAATACTATCTGCTTATCTTCAAACGACAACTTCCGTGTGCCACAGGGCATTGAAACTAGACACTGTCAGATAAGAAAACGTCTTTGTAACATGATGCTGGGTAACGCATACTTATGTGAAGGTTGTGAATAGGAAGATGAGACAGTCAAGCACTTGATCTCCGACTGTCCATCTGTCCAATCAATCCGAAAATGTATTCTGGGGAACGCTAGCCTGCTATGACTCGGCAGTACCATTTTTTTCAATAGTCTGGGCCAGCTGACCTAAATGCTGTGATCCTGGCCGATCGACATTCTCCCTATACAGAATATGCAGAATGCGCCAACCTCTCACATTTGTTGAGAACAAGGACTAATCCGGTTTTTGAGTCAGGGGAGGGCGAGGTTGCTGTCGGCGAGTCAAAATTGACTCGGCATCAGTGCTTCTAAGAACTAATGCATTTCTGGTAACTGAAAAGGGTTGGGTTAACGTTGGTCTGAATTCGCTCAATTAGGGGTTATGACCCCATTACCCACTTGGATCCGCCCTTGATAGAAAATTTTGCGCCTTCGATGACACTGCACCCTAGACTTGCTTAGCGACTGTAGCCGGCCCTGCACAGTGAGCTTTATTGTTTTTCAACAACATGTATTTTATTTACACAGTGCTCTCCAAAAAGGTTTCCCTTGCTATTTTTTGAAGGCGTCAAGTTAGCAAGCTGAAATTTGGAATGACGTAATTAATGTATGACTACCATATCTTAAGGTAAAAATAACAGTTAAGACTGTCCATAGCTGAGCGCCATATTGCAATATGCTTTTATTTTAGATTTCAAAGCTCATGATCATTATTTCGTAACGCTGAACTTTAAGTTTACTATCATATGAAATGGCGGATTGGCGAGCTGTCAAAGTTCTGCCTTGTTGTATATTGACAACAACTTTAGTTCAATTCTTGGTCTTTGGTTGGTTACGTCAATACCATATAAAATAAGTAATTAAATAAACTAACTGAATCATTCGCGCAGCTGAAACTCTATAGGAAAATTGCACACTGGCCAAACGCAGCTGCTATTCGCTCTTGCATACATACATGAATTAGGTGATTAAAGATCATTACTTTCATTCACTTCCTCAATATGTTCCAATAATTTTGGCAAAAACTATCCATATTGTTCGTTATTTGAATTTTCAGGTACATTTTATATTATGTAGAAGAATAAAAGTTAAGCTTAAAATGGTACATTTCAAGCCTAAATTAGGAATACTGATAAGTTAGCGAGAAAATGTTCAAGGTGACAATACGAAGCTAAAGAACGTATGTCTGAACTTACACAAGCAAGCGCTCGCGCACAGAGACAAATTGGATATGTAGATGTTAGGAAGAAAAAACGTGAGATTAACCATAATTATCCATACGTCACAGTATGTCATATCAATCATTTACTTTTGGAGGAGTCTGTTTGAAAGTGGAGTAAAAATGGGACATCCAGTATAGAAAAGGTATAGATTTTAACAATTGTGTTGAATGTAATGTTCCATATTTCATGAGATATTCATGTAGGTCTTTCTATGAGAAACAAATCGATATGACACTATAGCATTTTTATAAATTTTTCAGGTTATAAGCAACACAATGTACTAAAAACAATAATTTTTGAAAGCCTGCCAGTCAGCAATTTTGGAAGTTAGTGTAGCCACCATACAATTCCGTCGGCCTCAATTTCATTTCGTGAAATTGTCTCGTTCAAAAATTAGTAGGAGGCCCTGTTTAAAAGCCCTTTATGTACAGATAGACCTTGTAAAAACATGTGGCAGATTATCAAAACTCTAACGAAATTTTGTTAAGAATGAATCTGTGTAGTTCATGTTTGTCCATAACCTACTCGTAAAAGCGATTTAAAAAGCACGATTCTGGATAGCGTGTAGAAATTATTTTCACTTTTTTCTAACATGCACCTCGACTGCAACATAACTATAATCTGATTTAGATATTTGAGCCAGAGATATCTATCTTCTGCATGGTTTTATGAAATTCCTCGAAGTTTTATTGCCCTGTTTATATTCTGCACGAATATATTCGTTGACTTTTACTGCACGTAAAAGGCAATTATTTTGATATTTCCTTCTGTTAGATATATACAACTAGAAAATGGGATTTTCATGCGAAGTGCAGCTAACTTTTTTTATACCAAAGCAGCCGCGTAGGCAGAAGCCTTAATATTAGGCCATCGCGGCTGCTATGATAAACTTAAAGAAACTTTGTTAATCTCAATATTTGAACTGCCTAAGGTTATTCTAAGCTTTAAGGTCAAATGTGCGGGTAAATCTGTGATGTTTGAAATATGTTTGATAGGTGCCTAGAATGACCAAGTTTCCAGGCGTATGAATATCTTAACACCAACAAATTGAGATACACCCTCCCCCAGCCCCTACAACTCTAAACTCCAACTTTCAATCCCTAACGTCATAAAGCGAAGAATTTGAGTATACAGGGGTAAATGATGACAAAACATACAGGATATGATTCCTTAGCTCATTTCATTAAGAAAAGTTTATATCAACATATATCCTAAACCGCTTAACTTTTGAGCTACAGGGTATTAAAAATTCGCTTTCTTATCATAACTTTAATACTGTTCTAGATATTTTCATGAAATTTGACATGCACCTACTAAGCACTAATAGACCATTTGTTGATGGAAATTTTTTTTAATATTACTGCCAGTCGCGTCCGTACGGGATGTATACTGGAGGTTATTCAAAAAACCTATGGGACGCCATTGCTTTTTCTAAAAACAAAAATCACTTTTAAAATCCTCTTTTATTTTGAAATAAGTTTGACCTCTTGACTTTTTTCCGGTTCATGCATTGTTTTCTAAAAACCATTTTGGCTGTTTTAATCAATTGACTTTACTTGAATAAAAACTCATGTTACCCACAAACCATCACATGAGATTTTAGCGATTTTGCAATGCATGAAAATTACAAAATCAAGTTTGCAACAAGTTGACAATTTTTGTGAATCAAATAAACTAATACTATTTTATTACATTATCACAAGAATTGTTGAAAATGTCTTCCTTCTGCTAGAATACAGGCTTCAATTCTCTTTCTCATGGATTGGCAAACCCTTTAAAAAATTCCAGGAGTATTTCTTATGGTTTGGCATAAGAGTAAAATTTTGTGCCTTAGTTCCCGTTTACAGTTTGAACCGTTGTAGTATGAACTAATACCTTGAGGTGACCCCACAAAAAA